AGAAAAAGAAACTTGGGTAAAATATTCATTTTTATCACTGCAATTCTTCCCATGAGGGATAATTGCAACTTTTCCCAGTTCTTCAAGTCCTTCTGTACCCTGACCCACAACCTTTCATAATTATTTTTAAATAATTTTACATTAGAAACAGACAACATCACCCCCAAATATTTTACCTTATTAACAATCTCAAAACCCGTCAGGTTAGTCAAAATCTGCTTCTCCTGACTAGACATATTTTTAGGTAAAATTTTGGTCTTATTTACATTAATCTTGAAACCCGAGACCAAGCCATAATGATGAATCAACTGTAATAAGTTTACTACAGAATAATCAGGTTGCGACAAAGTAACAACCAAGTCATCCGCAAAAGCTCTTAACTTATATTCTTTTTTATTAACATATATTCCTTTAATTTCCTGAGACTCTCGAATTTTGATCAATAATATTTCCAATGTTAAAACAAACAACAATGGCGATAAAGGACACCCCTGTCTAGTACCTTTCTCTATTGTGAAAACCTCCGAAAGACCTCCATTAACAATAAGTTGTGCTGTTTGTTTTTGATATATTACCTTAAGGGCTTGTAATATGTTTTCACCAAAATTCATTTCTTCCATTACTCTTAGCATAAAATGCCAATTCAATTGGTCAAATGCTTTTTCAGCATCTAAAAATATGAGCCCTGCAGGAACTTGGTTGTTCTTATCTAAGTATTCTAATAGATTAATAATTTGTCTAACATTGTTTTTCATATACCTTCCTGTTATAAACCCTGATTGATCTTTATGCACAAGATGATGCACCACCCTCATAAGCCTATTTACCAAAATTTTTACAAATATCTTATAATCCACGTTTAAAAGAGATATAGGCCTATAATTTTTTGGTAAAGTAAGATCTTGATCCTCCTTTGGAATCAATGATATAAAGGCACTACGCCATGAAGGAGGAATCTCTAAACCCTGTAAGATACCATTAAAAAGATCATTTAATGGTTGGATCATCTCCTCCATTAAAGCTTTATAATAAACAGCTGTTAACCCATCCGTACCCGGTGCTTTCCCTAATTTCAATTGTTGAATTGCTGAGGCAATTTCCTCCTTAGTAATTAAGCCATTAATTTCATATTTCTGATCCTCAGTCAATTTAGGAAAACTTGCCTCAGCTAAATATTTATTTATATCTAACAATTGTACATTAGTAGATTTATATAAGTTTTGATAATAATCCAAAAAAGATTTTTTAATTAATTCCTTCTGAGAAACTAGTTTACCCTTGTAATTTATTTTCTCTATTATTCTCTGTCTCTGTTTCTTTCTTAATTGATAAGCCAACCATCTCCCCGGCTTATTAGCATTACAAAATGTATTTTGTTTCATAAATAATAAGTTGGTTGCAGCTTGATCTGCTATCAACATATTAAATTGTGACCTTAATAACTTTACAGATTCTTTAGTACTTTCATCAGAAGGATTTAAAATCAAAGCCCTTTCTTTTAATTTAATTTCATCTTCAAGTTCTCTACGTTTCTGAATCTGATTTCGCTTATAAAAATTATTCATTTTTATCAAAACACCGCGCATAAATGCTTTACCTGCATCCCATACCATTGACATTGAAGTCCCCTTGTACATATTCAAAGCAAAATAGTCCTTTAAACACTCCTTTAATTTTTGAACATTCTTCTCTTGTCTAAACAAATTTTCATTAACTCTCCAGGATCTTCTTTCCTCTTTCTCTTGAATCAGCTCCATCCAAACTGGACTATGATCCGTCAGTGATCTAGGAAAAATCTTTACATTCTTTACTTTATTATACAAGTCTGTGGTAATCAAGAAAAAGTCAATTCTTGAAAAAGATTGGTGTCTATCAGAAAAAAAAGTAAAGTCTCTCTCCTCTTGGTTACATTCCCGCCAATAATCCCTTAATTCCCAGTCTTCTTTCATATCAAAAAAGGCTTTAGGTAGCCTTGCTTGTTTGAGAAAAGGAGAGGAACCTTTCTTGTCCCTTTGTGTATCTAAGACACCATTCCAATCACCCATTAATACCACTGATCTATAATCAAACAATGTTATTTTTTGATGTAACTGCTTATAAAATTGTTCCTGTTGTTGATTTGGAGCGTAAAGTCCAACTATAAGTATTTTCTTACCATAAATACCAAGTTCAATCATCACATATCTCCCCTGGGGATCTGATTCTACCAGACAAGCTGGTAGGTTTTGTTTAACATATATAACAACTCCCCCTTTCTTCCCAGGAGCAGAAGATATAAAATGAGATCCCAAACGAGCATTAACTAAATATTTCTGATCTTTAAGTAAAATATGAGTTTCCTGTAAGCAAATAACATCATTAGTATGTTGCTTCAAATAATAAAAGATTTTTTTGCGTTTCTGAGGAGAATTCAATCCATTAACATTCCAGGTCAAAAACTTTGCCATCTCCCTTGGCACGCAGCCTGGAGAAGACACCATCAAACTCTGAAAGAGCTGCGTGTGTTGCATAACTCTTGGGTCTTGCTCCTCCCACCGGCGGTGATGCACTTCCAGGAGAACTCTCTTTAGGCTCTTTTTTACGTTGCTCCTTCTCTTTACGCTTATAGGCTGCACGGGTCATCCTCTGCTCTTTAACCTCCGTCTGGCGTTGCTTTACAGCTTCTATCATCCCAGCGGAAACCAAATCTAATGCCTCAGATTGCTGCTCAACTTCCTTGCCACTCAGAGATTTCCGACCAGATGAGGTTGAGCCTGCACCCAGGACCGAAGTATAAAAGTCTCTAGCTTTGTCAACTGTGTTCAATCTGTAGCGTGTCCCAGCATGGCTCAAAACAATACCCATCGGAATTTCCCATCTAAATGGCATCGATCTAGCTTTAAGCTCATTGGTTAAAAAAGCAAAGTCTTTCCTGCTTCTTAAAATTTTGGATGGGATTTCCTTTAAAATGATGACATCTTGGGCAGCAATCTGAAATCTTTTATTGTAAAAAGCTTGTATAATCTCATTCCGCAGGGACTTCTTTGTAAAATAAATCACCACATCTCTAGGCAAGTTCTTCTGCTTAGCAATCCAAGAGTTGAGCCTATAATATTTATTAATATGTATTTTACATCTGATAGGTGTAGTTTTTACACTGTTGTTTTATCTGATTGTTTTGTGCCATCTGAAGCTGGTTTTGGTTAGATAGGTGACTATATAATTTTGATTAATTAGATTTTCAGTACTTTTCATGCCTTACATTTCTGGAATTTTGAATTTTATTGTTTATTCCATATCCTCTGTAACATCTCACCTAACAAACAGTTCTGGAGAATTGTACTCTTTTGTGTTACCTAAAACTTTGCAGCCAATTTAGTATTTCTTTTTTCTATTTTAGGAATTACCTGATGATAATTACATGTTTAGATATAGTAACTGGTCATTCATCATTGTTAAAATGCCAGATTAAGACACAATGAAACATTAGCTTTCTGGATCTTTGTGCAATGAACTTTGCCTATAATGGTTCAAATTCTGTGGTGATTTGCATAATTAGGATCAATTTATGCAATATGCCATTTGCATAATTCTAAATTTATAGGTGTAATCTGTATCACAGGTATAATGAACTCATCACATAAATCATGTTACTTGTGTCATGTGCATCACTGCAATGACATGCTCATTGATTTACCACATCCTGGGAATGATCAAACGCCTTTCTGTAACTAATATATTAAAATTAAGCTTTCCTGCATTTAGGTGCCTGCAGCACTTACTTTGCTTTACTATTGATTAGTTTATTAGGTTAAAGAAATAGCAATAAAGACTTTTGCAGTGTGTTAAGACTAACATATTAGCTTCTGTGCCCCACAGCCTATTTTGGCTGATAAGATGGGAAAGAGGAAACACTTAAGTCAGAAGGAAATGCAATACAGAAGATACAAACAGAATTATCTACTGGAGTGATTATTCATCATTAAGTACAGGGCAGATATTCTTGCAATGGATAACTTAATATATATCATGTCTATGGAGATTCTCATTGACCAGATCATGGTTGTCCCAAAGGTACTTTCTTTCAAAAAGCAGCTAGACTTTCTTGTTTTGCTAGAAGATGCTTTGCTTCTCATCCAAGAAACCTCTTCAGTTCTGACTGAATGATGGAGAATGGAAGGATTTATATTCCTTGCAATCATGTGGTTGTTAGCCCATTTTGTGAGAGTTGTTGAGGCCACTTGGAGGTTTATCTGTGCCCTCAGGGTCACCTGAATCCTGTAGTCTGCATTTTCTTTTCTGGAAATCCATATACATATGGATACATATCATACCATAATACATATCATATGATAACAACCAATCACCCATGTCAGAAAGTCTGTGGCACCCAGTTTAGTGAATGGCAACTGTTAAGAAGGTTGTATTGCTCCCATTTGCTCCCTTGAACCCAGGTGGCTCAATGGTTAGAATGCAGTATTGCAGGCAAACTCTGCCCACAGGCTAGAGTTCGATCCTGATGGGCTTGAGGTTGACTCAGCGTTCCATCCTTCAATGAGGATCCAGATTGTTGTGGTCAATACGCTGACTCTGTAAACTGCTTAGAGAAGGTAGTGAGATTGGAGTGATAATGAGAGAAATTATTGCAAGGGAGGGATTAGAATTGATCAAAGGATGTTCTTTCATGCCTAGCCACTCAAATTATACCATCTGAAAATATTGTATGTCTTTTTAGCATCATCACAGTAAAGTATTCCTCAGCCAGTCCTCTCCCCTCACCCAGGTCAGATTGTTATATGTGTTGATTATTGTTTTACTACACATACGTTCTTTATATGGTTTCATATTATGTATGAATTTGTATACTATAATATAAAATTAACAAAGGAAAGAATTTGGTTATATAAAGGTAATTAGTCCTTAAATTCAATTCTTATCACTGTTATTTTCTTATATTTATCACATTTACAGAGATACAATGGACTTTTCAAGGTAACCAGATAACCTTTTTACTATTACAGGAGAAATTTGAGAGCTTGTTCCGTGCTTATGATGACTGTGTGACATTTCAGCTGTTTAAAAGTTTTCGACGCATAAAAATTGACTTCAACAACCCCAAATCAGCTGCTAATGCTAAAACAGAACTTCATGAAACACAGTTCCAAGGGAAGAAATTAAAGCTTTACTTTGCAAAGGTACGGTAATTTTTTTTTTTACCCAAGCATTCGCCCAGATACAGAGGAGGTAATTTAAAATTTGAGCATATTAATGTCAGACAAGAGACCAGAACTTATACTGATAATGTGTGTATGGGTAAAGTGCACAAAATATTAATCAATCAGAATAGAGCTGAAAGGGATCTTGGAGGTCTTCTAGTCCAGCCCTCTGCTCGAGCAGGAGAACCTATATCCTTTCAGACAAATGACTGTCTAGTCTCTTCTTAAAAACCTCCAGTGATGCAGCACCTACAACGTCTGAAGGCAAAGCTATTCCACTGGTTAATTGTCGTCACTGTTAGGAAGTTTCTCCTTAATTCCAAGTTGCTTCTCTCCTTGATTAGTTTCCATCCATTGTTTCTTGTCCTGCCCTCTGATGCTTTGGAAAAGAATTCGACTCCCTTTCTGTGTGGCAGCCCCTCAAATACTGGAATACTGGACAGTTAACTTTAGTCTGAGAGTCAGTTTGATATAGTGGCCAAGGTACCAGGCTAGGCTAGAAACTGGGAGACTGAGTTCTAGTCAGCCAGCTGAGTAACCTCGAGTCACTTTCTCTCAGCCCTAGGAAAAAGGCAATAGCAATGGCAAATTACCTCTGAAAAATCTTGCCAAGAAATGTTTAGGGACTAGTCCAGACAGTCTCTGGAATTGGACATGATTGCATGGAAGAAAAAAAAAGTTCTGTCTGTCTTTGCATTGCCTCAAGATAATCAAAGCCAAAAGAGCACCCACCTGCTAGTCTGAACTAAAACTTAATAATGTTTTGGTACCTTTGTCATGTTATGATCTATATTTTCTTTATGGTATCATTTAAAACAGTTTAATCTTGTCATGTTGCAGGACCAACTAAATTTACATACAGGCAACATGAACTAATATAGCTGATGATGAAGCACCTCTGTCAATATGTTTCTAAATATATTTCTAAATATGATAAATAAATGACTAGGATGCATGGGTTAGGACTTCATTGTTCTAAAGCTCTAGTGCAGTGGTTCTCAACCTTTTTAATGCCGCAACCCCCAACAGTCGTAAGTCGAGGACTACTCAACTGGTGCAGCACCGTTTGCAGAATGGGACTTTTGGCGGGCTCAGCAGAACAGAGACAGCCTGGACAATTCCTATTGGCTTTTGAAAGCCAATAGAATTAGACTCTATTTAAGAGAGTCTATTCTATTGGCTTTCAAAAGCCAATAGAATAAAAGGGAGTAGCACAGCTAAGGAAAAGGGGGAAAAATGGTGGACTGCGTTGTTTGGCGACCCCCGTGAAATGGTCGTTCAACCCCAAATGGGGTCCTGACCCACAAGTTGAGAACCACTGCTCTAGTGTATTTCCCACTTTCCTTATATATAGTGTAAAAATGGGGAACATTTTTAACAGAATAAGAGAGTTGGAAGCAACCTTGGAGATCTTCTAGTCTAGGGATCCCCAACCCCCAGTCCACGGACTGGTACTGGTCTGCGGCCTGTTAGGAAGCTGGCCTTGTAGCTGGAGGCATTCAGCGAGTCTGCAGGGGTCTGGGTAGGGGCGGGAGCAGTGGTGGGATTCAGCCAGTTCATTTTGGCAGAACCGGTAGCTAATTTTTTGTTGCCCAGGCGCAGAATGGACTTCTGGAAGTGGCATTCATACACAGAACTGGTTGTTCCCATATTTGAATCCCACCACTGGGTGGGAGAGTGGCAGGGCAGAAGCTTGCTCATTGCAAAGATTCTACAGCAGCTGTGCTTGCAACTGGCTTGCAACATCTGAGCATAGCATCTTTCCTCCTCTTTTCCTTCTTGTGCTCTCTCTTCTGCCTCCTCCTCCTCTTCTTGCTTCCTCTCCCTCCTGTTGTTTTTTCTTCCTCCTCCTCTCCCCCTTCCGGCACCACAGCTGGGCCCGTGCTCCCTTTGCGCAAGTCTCCAAGTTTGCAAAGCAAGCGCGCGCCAGCCCAGCTTCCAACCAGGGGCTTCCCCAGAACCTTGTTGGAGGGGGATTCTCCTCCCCTAAGGTATGTGTTTGTGAGGGTGCTTTCTCAGGATGGAAATAAGGGCAAGGAGAAGCTACCTTTCACTTTAAGCACTGTGTCTTCAAGGGAATCTCTCTCTCGTTTGCACGTTTTCTAAGACGGCTGAGTTTTTTGCTTTTGTTTTGATGGTGCTCCAGGTGCCTCATGTTTTGGCAATGTCCTGCCTGCTTTTTGTGGTTTAATTTGGTGTGTGTATTGTGTTTATGCTCCTTTCTTCATGCAGCTCTCAAGTTTGCAAGCCAAGCGTGCTCCTACCCGGCTTGCAATGGGGGAGGGGGGGAGGGGAGAAGCTACATTTCCCCATAAGCACTGTGTCTTCAAGGGAATCCCTCTCTCATCTGCACCTTTTCCAAGGCTGCTGGGCTTGCGCAGTGCCTTGCCTCCCTCCCTCCCTCCCCCCCTCTCTCTCTTTGAATGGTTTTCTCAGCACTTCCTCAATGTGCTGGGCCTTTGGTTTGTTTTGCTGGATGGCTGAGTTTAGGATTGTCTCTTTCCTTCCCACTTTCTTAGAAGCAGAAAGTCACTGGTCTAGTCTAATACAATGTAATTATAATAGAAATAATGTGCATTATTTATTTGTTTGTTTATTTAGAAAATTTAGAATAAATATAATGAATCTTCCTGAAACCTCCCCCCCCCCCCCCGTCCATGGAAAAATTGTCCTCCATGAAATCGGTCCCTGGTGCCAAAAAGGTAGGGGACCTCTTGTTCTAGTCCAACCCTCTGCTCAAGCAGGCAATCCTATATCATTTCAGAAAATGGTTTTCCAATCTGTTCTTAAAAATCTTCAGTGTTGGAGCACCCACAACTGGAGGCTAGCACTTCCACTGATTAATTGTTCTAACTATCAGGAAATTTCTCCTTATTTCTAGGTTGGTTCTCTCTTTCATTAGTTTCCAACCATTGTTTCTTGTTCTACCTTCAAGTGCTTTGGACAAGAGATTGACCCCCTCTTCCTTGTGGCAGCCCCTCAAATATTGAAACACTGCTATCATGTCACCCCTAGTCCTTCTCTTCATTAAATTAAACATACTCAATTCCTGCAACTGTTCTTTATGTTTTAGCTTCCAGTCCAGTGGTGGGATTCAAATATGTAAACAACCAGTTTTCTATATGGATGCCACTTCCGGAAATCCTTCTGGGCCTGGGCAACAAAAAATTAGCTACAGTTCTGCCGAAGTGGTGTGAACCAGCTGAATCCCACCACTGCTCCACTCTCCTTTTTAATACTCAAAGCAGCCATAGTGGTCTGATGTTTATATTCATGCTGCCCAGAATCACACTATTTTAGTTGGGTGGCCCTTTGACTCTATTAAACATATAAATAAATACTGATTTGGGTTGGGCAATCTCCATATAACTGAAAAATCTGCACACTAGCAACAGACAAGCTGAAAGAAAAATTTTTCTTCCATTAGCAATATTGTTTTGATAGTCTAACCAAGCTATACAGACGTGGCACTGTGTACCAATAAGTTGCCTACATCACCAAAGGAACTAAACCACACATTTTAAAGGAAGAAGAGCCACACAACACTGTTTCACCATGCATGCGACAAAAGGTTGGAGATCAGGATGCAATCACCCATCAAAGAAAAACTAGGAGAAAACATGGAATCCCCAACACATTGGGAAGTAGAATGCCAGAGCCAATGAGAGCTCCTGAAGTCTGGTCCATTAGTCTTATCTTTAAGACAGCATCTGTCAGTAACTTATTGTCCTTACAGACTAGGAATGTAGGTATGTAGAATATGATAGACAAACTTTTGGAATCAGTGGACATTGTTTGGAAATATGTGGGGGCTTTGCCTATTCAGTATACTGATATGGCCAGTCACTAAATATCCTTTGCCAGAATACAAATTGGTGAAGATTCTTCTTCACATCTTCTAGCTCCCTTGATACTGACTATCACTAAGGCTATCTTTGTCTTTTTTTCTAGGTAAGTGGGCATATCCCAGGCAAAGCTGGGGGCCGCAGCTGTCTCCCATTTTTAACTTTTAAGAATGCCTGTAGACTCTTTCTGGGACCTGGGGCAGTGGTGGGATTCAGCCGGTTCGCACCAGTTCAGTAGAACTGGTAGTTAATTTTTTGTTCCCCAGGCCCAGAATGGACTTCCAGAAGTGGCGATCCACACAGAGAACCAGTTGTTCACATATCTGAATCCCACCACTGACCTGGGGGCATTCTTGCCAATAAAGATAATGTTAGAGGTTGCTCCATGTTGTAGTATATAAGATTTCCATTTCTTTTTTTAATTAATTAGTCAGGTATACTGTATAAATTAGCTGAAGCAAGGAATCTTGTGAATGCTTAGACATCGCCTTTCTCTGCCCTTCAGCTATAGGATTTCTACAGAGAGCAAAGTCATTCCTTTATTTTCTTTGCAGATCAAGTGTGGCACGGGGTCAAAAAGACAGATTTAGCTTGTTTCCATTGGCCTTATAGACAGCCACATTAGCCCATCCCTTTGGAAAGGGGAGGACAGTTATGAGTGTAATACAATACTACCTGAAAATAGCAAAGCATTTATTTGTGGATCCACATTCTGTCCTTTACTGCAGCCTTCTTTTCCATCCTGGTGCCTTCGAGATTAGTTGAGGCTGAAACTAACAATCATCTGGAAATTGGTCCCCAAAATATGGGGGGTATTGGGCTGGACATAATTGTTTTATTCTTCTCTATCTGTACTCTCCTGAAGCAATACTGTGTTTCCCCCTTCATCTCTGTAAAGGTCCAGACTTTGGAGAATGATGGGGAAGCCTTCCACTTGGCTCCACCCCAGCCGTCCAAGCAATTCCTCATCTCCCCTCCAGCCTCCCCTCCTGCAGGTTGGCAATCGAAAACTGATGATACACCAGTCATCAATTATGACCTCCTGTATGCTGTTTCTAAACTGGGACCAGGTCAGTTTCATGATTCTTCTTATTTTCAAGTTTAGGAAATGAAGAACAGAAAACAAAGCAGACATAATGGATACTTACTGTATGTCTGCAATTTATTGTTGAACTCACCATTCTTCTTTCCAGTTGTGGAAGAGTGATCAGGCGTGGAAGTATTCTGGGGTGGCAGAAGTGATGGATGTTGGATGGAGGGGCATAGGAGAGGGGACTGCCATGGGCATGGTCAAAGCCAGTATTTCCTCAGCCTACCTTTCTGATTCCTTCTTTCCTGCATACTCGTGTTATCTCACCACTCTTTTTCTCATTTCTCTCACACCATAGCTCTTCTCCATCTAACTTTTTTTCATTTTCACTCTCCCTCTCCCTCTTTATCCTCCCAGCCCCCTAAATCAGGATCCCTTTCGGCATTCTTTTCTCCCACTTAGCTTTTTCTTGTTTATTGCTCCTTATTATATTGCAGGAAGCTTCTGGGACCCTTCCTTCCTTCCTTCCTTCCTTCCTTCCTTCCTTCCTTCCTTCCTTCCTTCCTTCCTTCCTTCCTTCCTTCCTTCCTTCCTTCCCTCCCTCCCTCCCTCCCTCCCTCCCTCCCTCCTTCCCTCCCTCTGCAAAATTCACCTTTGGAATAAAAAAGAAAGATCATTGTATGAAGGTCAACATAATTATTACATAATTCCCAGGATCTAATCTGCGCACCCTTATTTTTAAATTGAAATCTAAAGATGGCTACACTCAGTACCAAAGTCAAAAGATTGGGGATTTCATAAAATAGAAGAAATGAGACCACAGGAGCAAAACTTAATAATAAGGTAAAATGATTTATTTGTAAATTTTCAATTGCCAATTCCTATTCATTCACTCATTCACTCAGTCTTGCAAGCCACCCCTCCACCAGGCCAGATTGATTGGACCCTGTACAGGCTGGCAAAAGGGTTGTACCTCTCTCCATCAGATACATAAAGTGGTTAGACTGAAGTAGAATTTAAATTGGTCTGAGAGTTAATTTTTTTTGGCCAAAGTCCTACATAGCATCCAGGGGAGCGCTGCTGCCAGTTGATGGCAGATGAATCTGTGAATCGTATGCATGAAATAATTGGGACCTATTATGGTGCTGGTGGTGTATATATAGGAACAAGCTAGACACCTGGGTTTGTTCCCAAGTCTGGCTCCCAAAGGAACATCACTGTTTTGTTGTTCTCTTTTTTTTATGAGAATCTGCTCCAGATTAGGTGGTTATTTGTATGCACATATGGACTTGCTGCCCAGTGCCTAAGAAAGAGCAGTGTGTTTGTCTAGTATGGGCTGTAGCTTATTATTAATAGCATGTTTGAATGGCTTGAGCTGTGAGCTGTGAGTGGTAACTAATGGTCTTCTTTGTTCTTTTTCTATGGTATGGCTTTTAATAGGTTCACCTTGGGAATTGATCTCACTGTATGGATTTGTATACTTGTATATACTTGTATATTTGTAAAGATTTGTCTATTCATCTCATTGGATGGGTTGTTCAGTCTCCTGAATCCCTGTTTTAATGCTATCAGTTGAACATATCTGTCAAGTGGGTCAGAATAAATATGATTGTAGCATAAAGTCTGGCAATACATAGTAGACTGGTGGTGCCTTCTGGATGGAAGCTGGAAGCATATAGGTATGCACTGCTATCCGTGAGTTTCCTATACATGGTGTTTATGTGTGTCCGTTGTACCATTTACAGTAGTAGCAATAGCAATAGCATATATGCTTCACAGTGCTTTACAGCCCTCTCTGAGTGGTTTGCAAAGTCAGCATATTGCCCCCAATAATCTAAATCCTCATTTTACCGACTTTGGAAGGATGGAAGGCTGAGTCAACCTTGAGCTGGTGGGAATTGCCAGCTGCTGAATTGCTGGCAGCAAACAGCAGAATTAGCTTGCAATACTGCATTCTAACCATTGCGTCACCGCAGCTCAGTTTTGTAGGAGGAGAACTATGTTAATCTACGGTGGCAAAAAATCAGGAGGAGTCTTGTAGCAACTTTTCTGGTGAATTCATTTTGTGTTAATCTGAAATAAAGTTACCAGATTCCAAGTTTGGTCTTAGAATAATAGATCTATTGGTGCAAATTGGTGTCTACCTTTAATGGGCACAAATGGTATCTTGGATCATTTATAATATATTAAGCTTCTACATAAGAATATTTTAAATTATAAATTAAAATCTAAATTGTTATTTTACTGATATTCTGAGAGCCTAGTACTTTGAGTTACTTTAATGACTCGTTTCATTCAAATGACCTTGCATTATCATAGATTCTGGCAGCACCTGATAACAGTAATTGATTAAAAAAAAATCTGAATTGAATGTTCTTGGATTAGAGACCATCAGGAAATACCAAAGATGTGGCCCACCCTCAGAAATCATAATCACAAGGACAAGCTGAACATATTCCAGTTCCATCACAGGAGCATGGATTTACCCAGGGGCCAAACACTTTGGCACTTCAGTTGAGAGGTTTGCACTGGTCACAGTTGCTGATGACCTTTGGCAGAACTGGGATGGTACTGGTGCATCCATTCTGGTACTCCTTGATCTCTCCGCAGTTTTTAATACCATTGGTCACAGGGTCCTTCTGGACTGGCTATGCAGGTTAGGAGTGGGAAGTACTGTGTTGCAATGGTTCATCTCCTTCCTTAGTGGTCAGTCAATGTTGCTGGGGACAGGGGGTCAGGTCATGTCCACAGCCCTTCCATTTTTGGGGTGTCTCAAGGCTCGATCCTCTCCCCTTTTCTGTTTAACATCTACATGAAACCACTGGCTAAAGTCATCTGTCAGTTTGGAATTTGGCATCATCATGACACTAACAGTATCCAACTGTACATCTCAACTCTGGGCTGTGCAGATGAAGTTGTCAATGTACTTACCCAGCCTCTGCAGGGTCTGGATGAGGCAGAATAGATTTCAGTTGAATCCGACCAAGGCTGAGTGGCTCTGGCTATTTGTCTACACAGGGTCAGAGATGTTTCCATCATTAGTCTTGGATGGAACTGCACTTCTTCATTCTGGACAGGTATGCAACTGAGGGCCTTGAAGAGCATGTGGCAGCTGTGGCCATCTTTTGCACAGACTCATCTGTATGCCAGTTGTGCCCTTTCCTTAGTTGGGAGATTCTTTTGATAGTTACTCATGCCTTAGTCATCTCATCACTGGATTATTGAAATGTGCTATATGTGGGGCTGTCCTTGGAGACCATCCAGAAGTTACAATTGGTACAAAATGCAGTGCTGGGAGCAGTATTGGGCACCTCTCAGTACATCCATGCTGCTGCTATATGAGTTGCATTTGTCAGTCAGCTTCTTAGTGCATTTCAAGGTGCTGCCATAAAAGGCACATAGCCTTTTATAGCAGAGGGCCTGAATATCCGAGGGACTGCCTATTTACAACTAGTCCTGCCACCTATTATGTTCTAGCAGAGTGAGAATGCTCCAGATCCCTATTACATGCCGTCATCTTATGGGACCAAGAAAGGGTGCCTTCTCTGTTGTGGCTCCTGCCCTCTGGAGCAGCATCTCTCCCCCCCCCCCCAAGATATGGACAGTGCCCTCTCTCCTAGGATTCAGAGCATTCAAGACCTAGTTTTGGTATCAGGTCTGCGGTTGATGTGTTTGTTGGGGCCCTCATTTGATTTTTTTTGTTGTGTGATTGTTTTAGTCCATGTTGTCTGTAGGGTTGTATGTATTTATCTTTTTTATTGATTTGTAATTGTAAGTCACTCAGAATCAACTGGAATGGGTGACTATAAATGTAAAATAGTATTTTTTCTTGATTTCCAGGTGAGAAATATGAACTACATGCAGGTACTGACTCCACTCCAAGTGTAGTTGTACACATCTGTGACAGCCATGCAACAGAAGAGGAGGCCCCAAACAATATACCAAAGCCACAAATTATACAGACTCGACGTCCTAGCCTCCCATCCTCTATGTGTAGTTGATTTGCCCCAAGAAGAACATAATATCTCTCATTTTCTCCGAGTAGAAGTCAGCCATGTCTCTCTGTGTAATCCAGTATTTAGTTTCTTAGCATATTCCCTGTATGGTAATGGAGCCTAAGCGACAACAGGGCTCAGAATGTGCTTTGTAATCATTTTTATGTCACATTCCTGCACATCAGAAGGAGAGAGGGGATTAGGTGGAGGGATTTTTGAAACTTCTTTAGGCTGCAACCTGGGATAAAGTCAGCAAGCCTTTCTTTTAAGGAAACATATCAGATTGTATTGCACAAACCAAGATTCTTTAAATGTTATTCATTAAATGGAGGTATTAATGTTGGATGTGTTGTTCTGATCAATAGTCCTCACATGTTCCAAAGCATATTTCTATAAATAGGTTTTTCTTATATTTACTGTACAGCATAGCTTTCTTCTCCGGGCTTCAATTAGGAGGACCTCTTGTTCAATGGAAGACTCCATCCCAGACCCACCTTATAATACTCTATCTGCAAGGAAAGGGCCTTGAAGAGCAGAACTGTGGAAGGTTCTGTCTGTGAATCCTTGAACAGCCATTTTCAGAATAAACAGAAACAATCTAGGGCTCTGACATTGGAAAATCAGAAGTCAGCTCTTAGTTGGGCGCAGACTAACCTTTTTTTGTTTGTGTGTTTTATAAAAAAAATCTTTTTAATGCACAAATGCAACCAGCATGAATTCCATGCATTTTCAGTGCACAGCTACTACCTGAAGACAAATTAAGGCAGTTCAGCCTTCACTGAAATTAAAATGATTTCAAGAGTTTAAGGTAAATTATTTGATGCAGATCCTCATACTTTTAACAATGAATTCAGATAGTTGAGTGACAATCACTTTTCAGACTAAAAGGTAGGACTATTCCAGATAAGAAATTGTTTTCTTTCCTTTTAATATTAATGAGATTGCCATGCTTCAGAGAAAGTATAAATGAAAGTCAGTTATATCTGTAGCTAAAAGCAATGAACAATTACATAAATAAATAAATCAGAAGGCAAACATAATGATGAAAGTAATTATTTATCCTCCTGCTAACATAGGGCATGCTTTTACCATTACTCTAAACCTGTGCTCATGCCTGTCTAGCTCTCTTGCATTGTTACTCAAGTTACAAAAAAGTCAGTCTTTCTGTTTGCAGTGATACGATTCTGACATTTCCAAACTCAGATTGAAGTGTTGGTTATAACCTCTAAAGACCATATCACTCCGTTCCAGATTATTTTAGGGACCATTGGAATCTGCCCAGTCCTTACAATTAGAAGAAAGGGATTGGTTGCAGTCTTTGCCCCACAAGATAACAAAGGATAAACCAGAAGGTAAGTTTCTGTGGCAGGCCACTACTCAGAACCCTTTATCCTTGGACATGTGTCAGGTACCCTGATGACTTACTTTAGTGACTCAATTATTGAGGGTGATGAATGTTTAGTTTCGAGTGGTACTCTTTTGTTATCTTTCATTCCTGGTATAGGTATTGATCTTTATGTTTGTAAATCGCCTGATGGACAATGAAGATACTGAAGTGGTAGATAGGTTCTATCTTTTAGGATCAAACAATAGTAAAAGAAATATGCTGCAGACTAGCACTTGGTACAGTAGCCATGAAGACCTTGAAAAATGTATTTAGAAGAGCTTGAAAAATGTATTTGATGAGTCTATACCTACAAAGATCAGAATTGTTCCAGCCATAATATTCTCTAGTGACACCCTGTGAAGCAAATGGTGGACTTTGAAAAAGTCAGGTAGAAAGTGTATTGATGTTTTTGAACTTCCGAAGAATACTACAGATAGCATAAAAAGCCCCAAACAAATGTATCATCAAACAAATCAACCCAGATTTCCCACCTGAGCCACAAATGAGAGACTCAAAACTATGATACTTAGGATATATTATGCAAAAGATGACCAGCAGCAAGATGAATGGATTCAGTTATAGTGATGATGGCAGACTTGAAAGACCAGGTTAAGCACAGATAATCACAGAAAAAAACTGTGTGGTTATACAAATTGACACCAAATTAATGGCACATAATCAAATCATCTGGACTCTGAGGAATTGGGTGGTAGAGCAATGTTCATAAATAAATGTTTTGAAGATGTGGGAATACTATGAATTTCATTTTTTTTTTCTTTGCACAGGGAAGTGAACAGATATATATTGCTGAAGATCTGCAATAATCTGGGGTGGCTACAAAGGGAATAGCATGTTCTGTAACCCAATTTATCAGCTGGAAAGAGCATTTAGAGTGTGTGTCCTGCCTGCTGTTTTTTCCAAAGTCTGCTGGGTGAAGATGGCAATATTTATCTCCTATCCGCAAATTTATGCTCCCTCAGTCTTATGCCAGAGTTGTCAGCTCTGGGATTGGCAGTCGGGCTCAGCAAAAGGCCTGAGGGGGGTGTACAAAATCTATTATTTCTTCCTATTCCTCAGACTTACCCATCTTGGAGAGGTCAAGGTCAGGATTGCAAGGCTTCTGTGCAAGGTTATTTATATTGATTAGTTGTATATTGTCATAAATGGTTGAATGTCAAAATTGCCTTGATTTTTTTGTATGTTTAGTTTTCACTGCTTTACTAACTATAGCAACTATTGCTTGGTAAGGATTCAATTTTTTTAAAGATAGTATCATTCAGATCTGCAAAAAAACTCAGATTACCAGATATAGAGACCATGAGCATTTGTTTTAAGACTGTAGTATTCAAGATGTAGCTAATGTCCAATTTGAATAAAATACCTCCTAAGCAACTCCAATAATTTCTTAGAATTTCAAATGCTACAAATAAAATGTGCTGCAAATTCAAGAGACTTCATGTTTTTTCTAACAGTGTCACCATAGCACCATATACTTCTGCTATAACTTGAATGCAGTACAGGTAGTCCTCAACGTACAACCACAATTGAGCTGAAAACTTCAGTTGCTGAGACATTTGTTAAATGAGATTTACCCCATTTTAAGATCTTTCTTGCCACAGTTAAGTTAGTAACACAGTTAAGTGAATCTGGCTCCCCTGTTGACTTTGCTTGCCAAAGGTTGCAGAAGGCGATCACTTGACCCAGGACACTGCAGCTGTCACGAGTCAGTTGCCAAGTGTCTGAATTCTGATCATGTGACCGTGGGAATGCCACAATGGTTGTGTGAAAAATGGTCATTAAAGTCACTTTTTTCAGTGCTGTGGAATGGTCATTAAATGGATTGTTGTATGTCAAAGACTACCTGTACAATTGATTCTAGTGCTTTTTCATTGGATCTCACCATAGAACACAACACAAAAAGAACAGGCTTACAAAGGAATATTAGAGAAAATCGTGGATAATTTTAATATTTACTTGCTGCAAGCCCAGTATACTAGCATAGGAAGCAGTATGCCTCTCAACAATTTGCTTCTACGAATTATGGATAAGAGGTTATGTAATGTTTTTGATTGACTTCTCTGGGAGTAGGGCTTTGCCTTTATCTTGCACGAATATTCTTAGGCAATAATAAACCACTGGCCCATCTAACTTTTTCTTTGGGGAGGTCTCTTCAGGTCAGTGCTGACACCTGCTGAGTACCTGCACAAGTCTCTTAAGGTTTTTTTGAAATATTTCAAATTGGTTTGCCCTTTCTTGCTTCCTAGGGCTGAGAGAAAGTGACCGGCCCACGGTCACCATTAATGAAATGGTGCATTCTAGTGGATCCATAGCATGACTGTTTAAAAGGTATATGATTTATTTATTTATTTATGAGACTTATATACCGCTTTAAGTGCAAGCAATCTCTAAGCGGTGTACACCAGTAAGCAATGTATATTTGCATTGCCCCCAACAATCTGGGTCCTCATTTTACCTACCCCGGAAGGATGGAAGGCTGAGTCAACCCTGAGCCGGTGAGATTTGAACCGCTGACCTGCTGAACACAGTCAGCTAAAGTGGCCTGCAGTACTGCACTCTAACTGCTGCGCCACCTCGGCTCATGATGAGGGAAAAAAGGTGGCTTTCCAGTTTTTTTATCAGATGTTTCATTTGCTGTCTAGAACAGAATCTTTTTCTGTGGCAGATGACATAATACATAAGCTGGAAAGTGTGGATAGAAAATAGTTACCATCTTTAAACTCGAGATTTCACACATTCCAATAATAAAAGCAGATATGTCAATTAAAGATCTCTTAAAATAAATTCTTTAGCAAACAATTCTGAGCTGAGCCTGGAAAATTCAGACAAATCCTCCACATAATTTAAGTCACATACAATTTCCTCCTAGTATATCCACAGAAGGCTACTTCAAAGTCAACCTCTACTTTGAACTAAGACCTTTTCCGAAGTGCCAAATCTGTCCCAAACAGAATCTTGCTTAATATATACCCCAGTAGAGAACCTCAGACAGGTATGCATTTTTTTTTTGTCAAAAGCTGTATTGTGAATAAGACAACAGAAATGGTTTACTTTCTTCAAACATATATCTTTTGCATATTTTTTCTTCCCACAGTCAACTTAAATCGTTTTGGGAATAGCTCAGAAAAATGATATATGTAGTATACACCTAGAGTCACAATTCAAAAGATCTACAGAAGGCAGTTTCATAAAACTAAACCAGAACGTTTATTATGCAATTTTAAGTTTTTAGGAAGTAAGAGAGAATAGCTTGTAGACAAGAAAAAAAAAATGGCTGTTCTGAATGTTAATATAATTTTGACTGGCAAAAACTTTAGAATGAATGAAAAAGTACTTGAATCTAAAAGTAAGAAAGCATAAACCTTAATACTGAAAAAGTGCAATAGCCTCTTGAATCAAAGTCAACAGATTGTCCAAAATCCTCAGTTACAAAGATATCCCAATAGTCTTTTAAAAAAATAACATAGTTCATTACTGAAATTTATTTTCTCAGTATAAATTTATCCCTAATAATTGCAGAGATAACAAGTCAGTATTCCCAAAATATGTAACATTTTTGGTAATAGTGGCCAGTGGTCTTGAGATGAAGGATAAAAAATATACTGTAACAGCTTTTTTCACATTAATTCACATTTCCTTTGATGAATTGTTTGCTACTTGAGGTCCATTATCTAATTAGCTTTATTTAAGGAGTTTTAAGCTTTTTAAAGTTTTTCACAATTGCCCTTTATTTCCTATTATTTATGCTATGGTTATCAAAATCTGGAAGAGTCCCTGAAATATTAAATTTGTGTAGAACAGTTACAAATATCCTTGTACAAACTAGTTATTTAAGTCTTTCCTATTAGGATGCCAATTTTCAAAGCAAAAACAAAAAAACCTTCCTATTTACTTCCAAAACATGTTTTCTTTTTGATAATGCCAAGCATTGCTTCTCATTATGTAATAGAATGATCTTTTGAAAGAAGGTTGAGTTTCTCTTTTCTATGGAAGTGAAATAAATTAAGTAATCCTGAAGAGAAATTGTTTTACTTCTTAAAAGACTAAATTTCACTGTACTTCTAATTTAAAGATTCTGGTTTATTCCAACAAGTAGAATACCAAGGTGTCACCTTAGTAAGAAGAAACTGAGTTTGAATGGGTTCCCTTATCTCATGCACAAATGCCAAATGGGAAATATCAGTTGATGTCAGAAACTCCTCCCTCAGTGTCACTATTGCTTAAATAAGGCACTGAAAAGCTGCTTCTGCTTTTGGGGAGGACTGTTACACAATTATTTAAATAGCACATCTCTTAATCAATATTGTAGTTCTGGATTATTTTTTTACAACACCTGTTATCAGATAAGTATGGTTGTATCTTCATGGAGTGTTGCAGATTACAAAGATTCCACCATCATTTCTTAAAGAAGGCAAGCAAAGAAACTGAAGTTAAATTTGGAACGCTTGAAATACCAATGAAAATTATGTGTCCTCCTATGCCTTAAGTATTCACTTCCCCTGAACTCTTTCAGAATGAAACAGACGAACACAAATGGTATTGCATATTATCTGCCTATTACAAATAGTCTACTTTAAATCAAGCAATTATTAGGAATTTAAAAAACCAAATAATCATCATTGCTGAACATGTCAATTAACTGAATGTACAGTACAGAATCATATACAAATTGCAAGCAGCAGAAAGCCATTTTTAACTGTCCCTTTTGCTTTCCAAAACCCTTCTTATTGAAAACACCATACCTGTCTAAATAGAGAAAGACATATTAAACTATGTTTAGAATCAGCTTATGAAAAATGATTTAAGATATAATCTATCTGCTTTAAGATATAATCTATCTGCTTTGGGACATTTATAGTAGTAGTATGACATGCTATTTCTTTTTGCTTAGTGTAGCTTGAAGATATACCTGCATGAACGGTTTTCCAACAGCTTGAAATAAAGGAAACATCCAGTTTGCAGAGACTGACATAGAGTACACAGTGCTCTAGAATTATGACTCCTAGATATTAACAGCTTCTAAATTAAACTATTATAGCAACTACTCCCAAAATGGAAAATAAATCTGGATTATTTTCACAATTATAATCTGCTTTATAAAGAATTTCATGACGGTTTATATTTTTTCCAACCAGTTTCAGGGACATCTGAAATGACAATTCACTGGCTTCAAAAGGGCAGGGATGACTGGGCAATCAAAGAACTGTGCACATCAAAATGGGCAAGGCCTTGGTTGCCTAGTTTACCCTGCTTTTTAAAGTTGTGATTGTTGCTGAAGAGGCTCCTGTCTAATTTCAGGAAATGCCACAATATCTCTAAGCAATTGTTCATCAAATATATGCAAGCAGATTCACTCACAAATAATCTTTTTCCTTATCATTTAGAAATAAATAAGTTTTACTACTATTAATTTTCTATTAGAAAATAAATTCTATTCAAGATTTTTTTTTCAGAGAGACAATGTTCTTCTTCTGTAGTTTTGGTGGATCTTTATTAAAGTGCATCATGTTATTAGCCAACATAACTTATATTTCTGTAATGTCTTTTCAAAACAAAAGTCAGAACAGGGGTCTTATCCTATTAAAGGATCATCATCATCTTCCTGAAGCTGGAGTCTTGAAAATGGACTTGGAGAAGGAGTTCTGTTCTTTGTGATTACTATAAAGCACATCAGAGCAGTTAATATCATAAAGACACCAATAACTATTCCAATCGCTTCAGGAACATTTATGCACCACTGGTCAACTAATAAACACTTGGAATTGCTCAAAGTGCCATTATTAGGTTGGGATTTCAACCCTAAAATATGACACATCATTGGATAAATATCAATAGTACGGATTGAATTTAGTCTGTAATTTTTACGGAAAGCAGGTCCGTGAGCTGCCAAAAATGGCTGCATACTTGGAAGAGTATCATCATAGCCGTGGTCTCCTACTGAAAAATAAAGAAGCCAAGAATTGTTAATGCATTGCAAAGATTTAGCTAAGTTATTTTACCTAGTAAATATAATCCTACCAATACAGGATTATAGCTTAACTGTTTTTTCAATAAGCTATTGTTTTCTGCTTGGTTAAAAATAGAAGCAGAATATTTAAATTTAATATTTTAGTTCATCAAACTGTTAAAATTGCATAATCTTCAAAAGTAAAAAAAAATCAATCTCCAATAAAATCAATTTGATATTTAAGAAGATTATGATAAATATATTAATTCCAAGGAAAGTATTTTAACATTATCTCCTATTAAAACACCCCGTTTGTCAAGCTACAAGTTGTGTACTTTCTGCTATATCTCTGTGAGAATACCCCTTGTTGTCTCCCATCCCCTGCTTGCCACCCCGTAAAATAGTCACATAGCACAAATATGTTTCGAGATATTTTTACACTGCTCTCTCAGAATCCAATATTTTATGGACATCCCAATATGCTGGACTTTTCTCCCTTTTTCCTATTTCAGCAAATCTTGGGGTTCCCTGATATTACAATATCCATTTCTTGTTTCTCAATGGCCTATTTTGACTACATAAGCATAACAAAACATGTGTATTTTCTGTTCATGCTTATGATATATAATACTTTAGCTACCAAATCATGTAAAAAACTTTATATGTTAAATTCTAAATTTCACTGTAAAAAGGAAGGCTATTAAACCAATAATTAAGTTTTAAAAAGAGATAAATCTCTTTAGTCTCCTTATCGCATTTATCAGCTATTTCTATAGATCAGCTGAAGCCAATTACTGAACTCTCTCCCTCCCAATAGTTACAATCAATATTCTGAGATTGCTGATATCTGTAACCTTTTTCCTCCATCAAAATTAAGGTTTTAACCATGAAGAGATACAACTGAAGGACATTATGCTAAGAAAGGTCTTCAGTGTTGTCCAGATTTCACCCCAAAATTTCCTACCGCTAAACTTTATATCTGTCTAATAGGAGTGTCTGTAAATCCATTGTTTCTCTTCACAATCCTTAGCTTATAAAGCTGGTAATTGTGCTCCAAACTTCTAAATGAGATGCTACCTGATTTATAACTGCTAATCACTTTCCCGAGGGAATTTTTTGGGTCCAACATTCATTTCTAAATGTTAATACCATCTCCAGCCTGACCACATGCAACAGTTATGAAGAACAGATGGTTTCTGTCCATCACTCCCATATACAAGTATGCCCACTATATTTAGTAAGAAAAGGTGACTTTAGGGCTTCATATTTTTGCAATTAGGGCAATCCAGTTTAGTATTCTAAATTTCTGAATACATAGAATTAAAATATATTAGTTAAGAAAGAATCTAATCTTTAGTGCTTTCAGATATTTTCAAAAGGTTTCTGTTTTTAAATTCTTCTATGATCTATATAACTATATCATCCCCCATCAGAAAGAGTTATATATTTTAATTAGTGTTTTAAAAAAACTTACATCTGGGAAGAGACCCATTCTGTACAATTGTCCAGCCTTCATCTGCAACCAAAATTATTGGCTGAATGCGCTTATTGTGATGGTAATGATATCGCTCTGGAATTTCTTCTTTAAGATAAACTTTCATATAAGGGCTGCAGTTTTTCATTAAGTTATATACATGTGTCACATCTAAAAAACAAAGTATAAATAACTTGGTCATTTATTTATCTGTAAAATTTAAAAACTTGTTACTGTGAATATAAAAAGTGCATTCATATTTCCTAAGAGCTTAAGTTTAATGTGAACCACATCTACTCTTATTTTCATATGCTTACTTTCAGAAGTAAAACTATACGTTTTTAAGAGTTAAATCATTCTTTATTTTAAGAATGCAACAAGGGACATTCTAAACCCAAAATATTTTGCATCTGAAATGCTGCATCCTAGTATTTTGAGCTCAGAGTAAAACACTGAATTTTGTCCCCAATTCAGAACAGAGTTATGTTCAAACATCTTAAATTCTTAAACATTGTAGCATTACAATGTTTTAGACTCTAGAGAATCATACTACAGGTTTACTTTCCACTAGGCCTCTATGGCTATTTGTTATAGACAGAATATATAAAGCTAGTCAAATTTATGACTTGTGGGAATTTTTCAAGTTTAAAAATGATCTCATCAGCATATTCATAAGTATGGTGGTAGTTAACAGTCAATATGGACTATCACTTCACCTTTTATTGCCCTACCTAAAGCAAAGAATGAGACAGCAAGTGATCTGTTTTAAGTTCCCTAGATCTCAGGTTCAAATGCTTGATGTTTGTTATATGTGTAATTATATGTGTAACTTGGAATATTCAAAACATGATGAATTTGTACTGATGAATGTTTTGAAGTTTGGCTGTGCTCAGGATAAAATAGCTTTCTTATTTCAATGACATTTCTATACGCAATAACAAATTTAAACAAAGATAACACTAGAAACTTGTAGTGTTAATCATAGTATAGCTTTGTTTACATATTGGTCTTAACTAATATAACATGTAAAATTATTATGCTCAGTTGAAAAAACACTATAAAGGAATTCAGTATTTTTCTGATCAGAATCAGTAATCTTAATATTTAACAAACTGAGAAATACGATTAGTGACTTACTTATGAAATTACATAACTTTGAGAATAATAATGTTAAAAGCATTGAATAGTAACAGATTTTACATTATTAAGAATATACTTACTATTTGGCAATATGGCAGCAACTGGGCTTCTGTCTATTAGCACATAGCTGCTACGATCAATGCAATCATCCAGTTTGATTAATCTCTCCTGAGAGCACTGTGCCATGCCATGATCACTTGTAATGATAACATTAATTTCTTCCCACAACTTTGAAACTTTGAGCTTCTCAACAAGAAGGCCAATATGCTTATCTACTTCTTGTAATACTTTAGCCATATTCTTAGTATCTTCTGGTCCATACTTGTGTCCACTTGCATCTGGTTCTTCCCAATAAAGAGTAGCAAAAGTAACTAATGGATTAGAACTATTCAGCCATTCAATAATCTTTTCTACACGTTCACTGAAGCTTACTGAAGAATTGTATTTCATAAAAAAGTGAGGAAGAGTATTATGAATGTTTACATCTGTGCCTGGCCACATTGCAGAAGCACTTGTTTTGTTCTGCCATTCATTGCTCACCCAAATAGGAATTGCTTCATCCCACCAGAAAGAATCGGTATCATTAAACTGTGAAAAATTCTTCTTTGTATCAATGTCAAACATTTCATTTGCTACAATACCATGGCTTTCTTCATACAGGCCTGTGACTATACTGTAGTGATTTGGAAAAGTTTTTGTGATGAAAGCATTGGTAACATGTTCTACTAATACACCAGCCTTAATAAAATCCAGGAGATGTGGAAGTTCGTATTTCTTCAAATAATCAGCCCTGAAGCCATCAAAAGACACCAGAAGTAATCTTGGCACTGGCTTGCTAACAGATTTACCATTGGAGTAAGAAATTATTCCATTAAAGAGTAGTACTATTACTAAAAAAAGCATTCTGGATAAAATTTCAACATGTATAGGAAACAAGGATACCTGAAAGGAGGAGAAAAAATGAAATCCCGATTAAGAATTTCAAGCCAAAGAATTATTTTCATCCTAGCCAAGCACTGAACTCTATTTCCAATAAATTCAATTTATATTCTACTTAGGAGAGTTGCTAATTATTATAACTATACATTTCCACATATTTTTCAACTGTGTTTTATACATAGTAGAGACTGGCAACCTAGCAGCTTGGGTTTCTACAAGGCCAAATCCAGTATGAAACCATAGAAATCTAACAAATTTCAGTATATTCCTATATTTTTATGTGAGATTGCCTACCGAGGGCAGGAAAATCATACTATTAGTATTCCAAGAGCTCAACCCATTATAGTTAAGCAATATAGGATCTGATTTATTTAAATTCAGTAACTGGTTACAAAAGTAACAATTCAGAAGTTGAGATATGGGCAGTATAAGCCTTACTATTTTATTATCATTTTTCTTTTATGTTAAACCTGATCTGATTGCTGTATCTTAATTTCTTGCAAAGCCACTGACAGTCAAGTTTCCATATTTTTTTAGACGTATAAAGTTGTTCTTTCCATTTCCAATCTATTCATTCCGCCTTTTTTAAACTTCAAATTAGAATTTACACATAATTAAAGTTTTGAAGAACTACTACTTACATATGGCTAGAGTACAGAAATGTAACTTGATTTAACAGAAAAATTAGTGTGGGCATAATGTTACCCCACAGGGTTGCTGCTGCAGGGAAAACAGGAGGTAGGAACATTATGTATGCCACCTAGAGTTTTATAAAAATAAAAGTGTATATTATTAATAAAGTTATTTTTGTTTTTGCTTTCTTCATAAATTAGGGTATTTCTATTTTTAACAGATTTAGTTTAAATATATCACAGATATTACATTAATAATAATAATAAAGTTGGAAGGGACCTTGGAGGTCATCTAGTCCAACCCCCTGCTCAGGCAGGAAACCCTATACCATTTCAGACAAATGGCTGTCCAGTTTCATCTTAAAAACCTCCAGTGTTGAAGCATTCACCGCTTCTGGAGGCAGGTTGTTCCACTGGTTAATTGTTCTAACTGTCAGCAAGTTTCTCCTTAGTTCTAAGTTGCTTCTCTCCTTGCTTAATTTCCACCCGTTGCTTCTTGTCCTGCCTTCAGGTGCCTTAGAAAATAGCTTGACACCCTCTTCTTTGTGTTATATTTATATAACATATTATAAATATGCCGCTATAGGGCATTGCATGCCAAAAAAAAAAAAAAAATACACTAGTTTTTTCCCCTTGTGCCATCACTCTGCTGAACACTGTTTTACATAGTACTGTTTTATTTCTAAGAATATTTACCCATGTAGCATTGCGCTATTACTATTATCTCTCTCATCTTTTCTACTACTTTCTCCTATTGGTATCTTATGAAAATATTACTTTGTTGTTTGTATGTATACTGAGAGCTTATGCATTGGAAATAAATTCCTTGTATGTCCAATCACACTTAGCCAATAAAGTATATTCTAATCTAGTCTAGTCTCCTCTAGTCTGTAATATTACTGAAACCCAAATGGGACAAACTATAGGTAATTCTCAATTTACAACCAGTTGCGTAACCATTGTTCAAAGATACAACAGACTTTTAGAAAGCTACTTATGACCTATCCTCAAAGTTATAACTGCTACGCAATAACCTGCAATCATGTTTTGGGACCTTGGCAACCAGCTTGCCTTTATGACCAGTTTCAGTGTACCACTTTCACAGGATATCAATTTGTAACTTTGGTAGCTTTATGGCAAAAAACTACTATTGGATATTCTGGATCTAATTAATGACCAAGTGGTTTGCTTAACTTATTGTAACTCAATGTAAAAATGGTCATAAAATCAAGTCAGATCACAATGGTAATCCACTTAATGACCATGACTTGCAATCATAATTCCAAGCCCAATTGTGATTGTAAGCTGAAGACCACCTATATATCCTCACTTAATATATTGACATTAATACATATTCTTTCAAAAATGTTACTATCCAAAAAGCAAAGCCTGTAATTTTTGATAGCATAATATATACCTATGGCCAAGCCTGCAAACAATTTCAAGAGGTAATTGCTCAATAAAAAAAATAAGATAGTGCCGGAAAACATAAGTAGTTTTGCTTGTATACTAAATGGCATATATTAATATGGCAGTTTTGTTTAATTTTGTTTTGAGTGAACAACAGAATCTATATACAGGCACTCCTTGACTTGCAACAGTTCATTTAGTGATTGTTCGAAGTTACAACAGCTCTGAAAAAAGTGACTTATGATCATTTTTCACACTTACAACCATTGCAGCATCCCCATGGTCACGGGATCAAAATTCAGACACTTGGCAACTGACTCATATTTATGATGGCTGCAGTGTCCCGGGGTCATGGGATCACCTTTTATAACTTTCTGACAAGCAGAGTCCATGAGGAAGCCAGTGTTATTAATGAACAACTGCACTCATTCGCTTAACAACTGTCACAAGCTAGGTCATAAAACGGGGCAAAGCTCTCTTAACAAATGTCTCGCTTAGCAACAGAAATTTTGGCCTCAACAGTGGTTGTAAGTTGAGGACTATCTGTACATTTCTGTAACAGAGGTCAACAATATGGCACTCACATAGGATTCACAGAGATACAGTGGATGCAGAATTCTCAAGTATCCACTGGATCTCTCAAAAGTAATTTTTTAATCCCCCTCTCACCAGTCCTTATCTTGCAAGATGCCCCAAACAAATTGGAATTCTGCCATATAAAAGCATAAAGAATACACTGGCTTTATTATGGTCTTAAATCAGAACAGAAATCTTGGTTATAAATAGTAAACTTATAAGAACATTAATAAGGTTAGTCAATGTCAACTTCTATATTCTAATTAAGAGTTTCTTAAAATGTGGTCTTAGGGCCCTCTCAGAAGTTTGAAGAATCAAAATGATTTGCCAGTTTATACTGAAAAATACATTATTTAAATCCCATTACACAATTGTGAGAAGCAGCTACATGCAGTATCATGCGTGAAATTTAAAGGCTATCCCGAGATCTACCTGAGTCAGCAATAGTACAGTACTGAACAAATAGATACTTTTTGCCATTTGGATTTTGTCCATGTGAATTTAAGAGAATTTATATAGAAATTAAGCAAACATGGTGCCAAAATGACTCCCCTTGGCAGTTATAATTGGGTTTGAGAACTATTTGGAATGGCTGCATTTTACTCTGAATAAAAGTTTGTTCTGTCAAAAAAGTTTATCAAAACCAATCTTTTATCAATGGTGGAATTATTGAATTTATCCCACCTGTGTACTTTTGAAACTGAATCAAAGGCTGCCTTGAACACCAAAAGTGCCACAAATGGCTATTTTTACTGCCAGTGTATTTATCTATTGTATCCTGTGAAATCAGATAATGATCTACCATGGATCTTTGTTCTCTTAAAACCATTTGCTCATGCCTGGGAATATTATTTCACTCCTGCAAATCACAAAATGTACAACACAGATGTCTAGCACATAGTTTGTGGATAATATATAGCAAGCTAATTAATTTATGATTTAAAGCTTGCTTTCTATTACCATTCTTTACAAAACTGGAACCATATCAACCACACACACAGCAATTCCATCTGATTAGATGTGGGGTCTCTGAAAAGGTACTTTGGGAAGAATCCAGGGAAATAAATATTTGGGGAAATATTAAAAAGGCAATCTGGGTGGAAAAGATCTTCCCAAGTCCTACCATCGCCCTACCCCCCATGCCTGTGAAAGCTGCAGAGGAAGGAAGAATTCCTGAAGCCATTGGTCCCCACGTGAAGCCTCAGAAGAAAACTAGAAAGACTATGGGGGAAGGGTAGAAACTCATTGTAAGATTTTCTTTCCTGCCTCATTTGTACTGTAATAAGCCAGTCAAATGGATTCATGTAGGGATGGCATTTGGAACAGCAAGTATTGAACACCTTGGACTTCTCTTCTGGTGGAAGGGGAAATTTGTGCAGAATGCTTGTATTGCCTGTTTTGTATGAGTAGCTACATGCACATACACATTCAGAATCACACTGAGTCTATCCCCTTCATCTATCTTCAATAGAGCTCCCCAGGCTGATTTTTGCTCTGTGGAACCAAAGCTTTGCATGCACAACTTGCTGCAAATTCCAAGGGGGAGGAAACTAGGCCCCCTCAGGAAATTTGCAATTCATATGCTCTGAGGAGGGAGCAGAAAAGAGATCTCCAAACCTAAGCCCCAAATATCTTGCACTGGTGGACTCAGATTTGGAGTCCTAGGGCTCACTATGCGCAATTTCAGAAAATTTAATAGACTGGCTTGTATACTGGCTAACCTCAATTGGACATCACAAACCTGGAAGCCCTGAACTAAGGCAGGTTCAGTAAGCAACCCTTGATAATGGGCTGCCAATGGTTATGTACTGAGGAAAAACATGGCTGTGAAGAATTTTGGAAGGCATGTGCAGACCTGTCTGGAAGCTCAAAGTGACACCCAACATTTGAAAATAATTGGCACAGAATATTGGACATTATAAATTTCTTTTCCACTTAAAAGAACTTTTGCCCTGGTTTTAGAACTTCATGGTTGAAAGGCTCCCCTTTTGGGCACCACTGCAGAGATCTTTTTCTGCTGTCTCTATTATGTCTTCCCTTTTTTGCATTAACAGTTTAAAAGCTTGTTTATCAAGTCTCCCTGACCAGATCAATTTTTAATCTTGTGTCAGTAAAAGTGTGTCACTCACACTCTTATGGCACAAATGGGGGAATTGTGGGAAGAATCCAGAGAAATATTAAAAAGGCAGAATATATTTCCCCAAAGGCAGAATATATTTCCCCAAAGGATTTTAAAGGCAGAAACCAACCCCCCCCCACCCCAAGTCTCTCTGCCCCAAACAGAAATCAGGTCTGCAGAAATGCAGATGTGATAATTTTGTCAGAAAGATTGGAGTCAGGAAACTGGGATTAGAAAGAAAGATCCCTAGAATCAACAATCACACCAAAAAATCCAACAGTCACCAGCCCCAGCCCCAGGGACGCAGGATATGACCTTTGGGACATAATAGGATTAACCCACCACCATCAGAATACCAGAAAGGCACACTCAACTCAGGTCACACTTCATGCCACAGGAACAACTCCAAACAAAAGCCTAAGAAGTTATAAAAACCCCCACACCCTACTATATGTGGTCAGCTTTTTTCCAGAGCCATCTTTCTGTCTGGCTCTCCTTGTCAATAAACTACAACCTTTTTTCTAAAGCAGTCTCCATGTTGTTTATTTCTGGCTTGGACTGGACCCTGATGAAGATTTTTCCTTCAACAGTATTTTGATTAGAACATTGGCAATCATATGGGAAGGGCTTGTGTAATTCTGGAGGAGCTGCACCAAGAAATTTAGCTACCAAGTTATTAAAAGTGGGATGTAATCCTTGTTTACAAAACATTCAATAGTTTCTATAATAGTAACAAACACTGTCTTTTAAATAAATTAGAACATGACAAATATAATGCATGAGAATTATAAATCTAGTAGTATTTTTCCTAAATATAGTGGAACTAAAACTTTAATCCAATGCAGGTAGTTTATGAAGTTAGGTTAAGAATATATGATTATTTATAAAATGATAGAAAGGGCAATTGCAGTAAAAATGTTATACAGGAACAGTTAAATTGTTTCATTTTATACGAATACTTTTTTCCTTCTTACTCCATTCCTTCTTTTTTTGCCTGTGTTAAGTTTTTATTTTCTAATTTAAAATAGTATATCAAGAATAAACTATTTTATACTTGGCTTATAATATATAATATACTTGGCTCCAAATTCCCAACATGAAAATAAACCTATTTCCAACAACTGACATTCATCTCAAGATAAACAAAATAATGCCCAAACTACAGTTGCAATATTTTCTTCACCACGGAACAGTGTCACCTTCAGACCATATTAGTAAGAGGAACTAAACAACAAAAAAAAGTGCTTTGTCATCTGGTCACTGGCGTTTCCTAGATTTCAGCTAATGTAATGCCCACGTTTGCCTCATCTATAGCAGTCACAGCCAGGAGGATAGTGAGGTCACAGCCGCCCCCCCCCCATAACGAACCGCAGGGGGACCTGAGCTCCTTGAAGCTCTCCTCTTACCAGAAGACAACATGCCATACCCACCCACGGGGAAAGAGGCAGATACCACCACGAGGAAAAGAAGCGCCCCACCGCCCGTCGTTCCTACTCACTCGTAATAAGCAGGTCAAACACTTTCCCACCCCACGATGAGACGCGCATGCGCAGTTAAATAGCCGCCGCGAAACACCAACGGCCGGCGCGTTTAGCCACAGTCAGCGCAGACAACTACGAAAGAAGCGGCCGCTTAGTCTGAGGATTCTTTTCTTTCGAGCTCTGATTGGTCACTTGGCGATATTGTAGTGAAGCGGCTGCCCGTTTGAGTCGGAGAAGCAGGTGAACAGCGGGTGAGGCTTTGGGACGCGAGAAGGACGGAACTATTGGCGGGGGCGGCGCTTAAAGAAAGAGGCGGGACAGATGATAAGGAAATAGCAATACGAGCCTACTAGTTTAGGATTGCGTAGTTGCATTGTGGCGACGTCAGGAGCAACGAAGGGGAGTTAAAAGCAATTATTATAGCGAAATCTTGCAAAGCGACGGTACGGCGGGCAATATTCCGGCTCAATCCTCTAGTGTAGCCGGTCCAATGTATTACATTTCCCTTTCCCCCCACCATGGCCGATAAAGCTGTTTTTTTCTTGATAGAACTACTCCTGCGGTTATTGATATTTCAGCAAATTTCGTTATCTTATTTCGTTTGGCTTCGTAAGGAATGGAGCGCCAAACTGAGATTGCTAGTGAAATTTTGTGTACTGTATGATAAAACACGGAGCGGATGGCAATAAAGAAAAATCAATAGGATTCAAAAAAAAAAAAGCTGGAGAACGTGGAAATGCGGAGGCGCTTATCCACAGGTAAAGAGGAATCTAATGGGTTTGTGTAATTGGATACACCTGGAAAGTAATGAGTTCACACAGTAAATCTACCTGTGTTCGGTATTTCAAGAGATTTAATCAACAATATTGCCTTCCTGCTTGAGGAAAGAAAACTCCATTTGTAGAGAAAAAAAATCTAAGCTCCATTCCCATAACAGAGATGTTAATATCAAAACAATCATTTGGGTAAAATAATTACGTGAAACCCATATTTTGGCACTGGAGTTAGATTGACAGTCACTTTTCTAGCCATAGCTATATGCTGTGCTCTTATTTGGGTACAAGACTCTTATAATACCTCTCAAAATGCAATTTTGTAAGAAGTTCAATTCATTGGCAATCACTGTTCCCCAAACCATTATCCCAAGCAATACATATTGCAAAAAATTGCTCACAATCAGTTTGAGCATGTTCCACCTATTGCCTCCACTGCAGAACCAGTACTTAACCTATGTTATTTGATATATTTTCATTTGTATAGTAATTATTTGTAGCAACCAAGAATTCAACCTAGTAATTCAAGTTCAATTCCATCAGATAACTAAACTGCTTAATTTGCTCAGTTGGATTCTTACATCTGAAAGAAATTGTTTGCCTCCCCATTGCCAAAGCTAGAACTTTTTTTCTGTTTTTTCTGTAGTGAATAGACAAGTTTTCCTATTGCTGATACTTAGTAGGAAAAAGACTTCTTCATGAAAGTCAAAAATGTCATTTATAAACTATGGCAAAATCCGGAAAGTTCATGACTGGGGATAGAGATTAAAAGTTGTTAGTTCTTAATGTGCAAATCAAATGTTATCAACTATTATGGTCCCTTCAGGGCAGGATGTTGATAAAATCTCTTGTAAATTTAGTAAATTCTCCATCCTTATAATTAGCCCTCTTCTTATTTAGGAAGCAATAGTTGCACTCACTTCCTCAGTAATTTTTACAAAATCAATTCCACTATCTCTTCCATTTTGGTATTTAAATTTCCAACTTAGATAAAAGAAGACATTCTCTACCCCAATACTAAAATTAAAATTGCTTGTTGAAAGTAATATTTTTAGCTGTAGTGTTGAAATTAGCTGCAAGGAGCACAGCTGCCTGGGAGAATTGAGCTCCTGTTTGAACAATGCAAGAATGCGAACAGTCTACAGCAGTGGTTCTCAACCTTTTTAATGCCGTGACCCCCAACAGGTCGTAAGTCAAGGACTACTCAACCGGTCGTAAGTCGAGGACTACTCAACTGGTGCAGCACCGTTTGCAGAATGGGACTTTTGGCGGGCTCAGCAGGGCAGAGACAGCCTGGACAATTCCTATTGGCTTTTGAAAGCCAATAGAATTAGACTCTATTCAAGAGAGTCTATTCTATTGGCTTTCAAAAGCCAATAGAATAAAAGGGAGTAGCACAGCTAAGGAAAAGGGGAAAAAATGGCGGACTGCGTTGTTTGGCGACCCCTGTGAAATGGTCGTTTGACCCCAAATGGGGTCCCGACCCACAGGTTGAGAACCACTGGTCTACAGCAATCCTTCCATGAGTACCTAGGCTTTCCAGATGAAATATAAACACTTATTTCATGAATGAACTTCTGCTGCTATTTATCTTTAAAATAAGGACAATGAGGGGTTTAAATTTATTAAGTGACTTTGGAATTCTCAGAACCTGGGAAAAAGAAGGGTGTTAGGTTGCAGAGAATTATAGGTTCAAAATATCTGCACGTTCCTCCTTTACCATCTCTTAGTAGTTTCAGCAAGGTATCAAGGAATCTCTGCCTGAACACATTTTAAATATGCTACTAAAATAAACTTATCCAGGTGCAAGATCAGTCAGAAACACTTAGCAGTGAAAAACATCAGTTTAGCATCCTGAGGCAGTGAAAAGAATAATTGAGTTCCATTTGTGCCATTTATACAAATGTACAGGTAGACTTTGACTTATGACAATAATTGAGCCCAAAATTTTTGTTACTGAGACAGCTGTTAAGTGAGTTTTGCTTGATTTTATGACTTTTCCTGCCACAGTTAAGTGAATCACTGTAGTTAAGTTAGTAACTTGGTTGTTAAATGAATCTGACTTTCCCATTGACTTTGCTTGTCAGAAGGTTACAGAAGATGATCATATGATTCCAGGACACTGCAACTGTCATAATTATGAGTCACTTACCAAGCATCTGAATTTTGATCACATGACCATAGGGATGTTGCAATAGTCATAAGTGTGAAAAACAGTCATAAGTCATTTTTTTCAGTGCCATTGTAACTTCAAACAGTCATTAAACAAATGGTTGTAAATTGAGGACTACCTGTATTATGTCTGCATCCAAAATTGGAGTGGATAGATGTTTTAATGTTATCTTTCTCACTGAAATATAGCATGAAGTTTTATTAACTTTTGAACATGAATCAAGCATAAGACTGGCAAAAATGTTTATTTATCTCCTCTGTTCAAAGTAGTCTGGTTCCCATGCACATTTTCTCTTATTTGCTAGTATTTATTCAGACTTCTTTTAAGAAGTGTATTGTAATGACTTGTATGTATGTCTACTTTTACCCGAAGTAGTGTTTTAATCAAGTCAGACTTTCAGGTTATAGTGTCATGTCATAAGCATTTGTAAGTGCTAACAATCAAATTCATAAGTCACCCCAGTCTGAAATTCCCAAAAATGATGCTCAGTCTTTGTTGTTTGGTTGATAGTTGTCCATCTTGTTTCTCCCAAAGTATTGCAGCCAGAAGCTCTGGTGTCTTCATGGCTTCTGACCTTGGCTTCCTTCAAAAACACAAGCCATGGATGGTGCTTCATATATTAAAAGTATATGTAGGTAGTTAAAATTCTTCAGCATGGACAAAAATGAATCATTTGGCTTTTGCTTGTCTTTTTATTTTTTAAAATTTAAATTTAATATTTTGCTATTTTAATATTGACTTATTAAATGATCATTTAGATCAGATATCATAACATTGTTTACATTTACAATATAGTCCACATTTTTCTGAAGATAGTGTACATAGCATTTCTCTCACAAGTGTTCAACACAACAACAACCTAGTGAAGTAGGTTATGAAGAGGAAAAGTGACTGGTCCAAAGTCACTTAGTGAGCTTCTGTGGCTGAGAGTAGACTAGAAAGCCAGGACTCTCGGCTTCTGGTGCAACATCCTCACAACTGTACTATACAATAATCATTTTTCAGTTTCTTCTCAATATCTGGAAGAGTTGCACGCTGGCTGATGTTTTATAAGGTCAGGGAGAATGGGTGGCTTGGGCACGATGTTGCTGCTGCTGCTGCTGCTGCTGCTGCTGCTGCTATCGGTTCAATTGTGTCTGATTCTAGGCACTTCTATGGACCAATACCCTCCACATATTTCAGTCTTGCATGGCTTGCTTCGCTTGTTTTATGTTGTCTGGAGTCTGCTTTGATAGTGTCTAGCCACTGTGGTTTTGGGGGCTTTCTTCCTTTTAGTACTGACCGTTCCAAATATACTGTAACTGTTTTCCAGTGAGTGTGATCACATGACATGGCCAGAGTAAGTAAGGCTGGGTTTTGTGATTTTTGCTTTGCAGCGATATGTCAGGTTTTATACATTCCTGTACTTGTTTGTTTGTCACGTTTGCTGTCCATGGAATGTGTATCAGCCTTCTCCAATCCCACAGCTTGCAGAAATCAATTTTCCTCTTGTTATTTTTTTTTTCAACAATAGGTGGCACAGGAAGCACAATAGCATGGACTAATCTGCATTTAGTTGCCAGGCTAATATTCTTGCTTTACCATACTCAGTTCATGCTCATCAATGCTGTGCAACCCAGTGCAATTTGACAGTTTATTTCTGGACTACATACTTCTTTGATCAATCTGCGATCCACGCACGCATTTGATTTCTTCACTGTCAATTATATTTCCATTCTTGGTCATGAACTTGGTCCTTTTGATGTTTTCAATTTCTTCTTTAATCTTTTTGGTCAGATGTCGCTTGTACATGTTCAGTACTAAATATTAAAAAAGAGAAAAGCTAGATCCTGTGACTCTGCTTCTTAGGAAAAAGCCCCTTATAGGGAAGGAAGTTCATGCTATGACTTTACAGCTAAAGATAAAACACTGGCTGAGGATCAAATTCACTGAAATATGAACTATGTGCAAGGTATCGAATAATGGGTTAGGTAACCAGGGAGAACATGCCAGCTATGAAACAATGAAGGCAATGAGAAACTGAAGTGGGAAGTTTCCATCAATGCAAATAAATAAAACCAGCAAAGCAAAGTTATTTTATGACAGAACTAGCTGTCAGATGAAGTGGACTGTTGGCACAGTTGCATAACAGTTTACAAGCTAGCTACCTGACACTGAGCCAGACCTCCAAATGTACTGTTATATCTCCATCTACTGGTCAAATATAGTATGTAACGTAGCTTGTTTACTTATTGCTTTATCTAATTTCTCTCCTATCCAACCAAAATCTGTATTTTTCTAGTCTACCACCCAGTATGCTAAATGTAGAAATAAGTTGGTCATGAAGACCAAAGTTAATCATGCCATGAGACGGAAGAGG